AGAAAGGACTGGACTAATTACATCTGAGACACCTAGTTTGGTGTAGTAGTTAAGGCATCAAGCTAGAAACCAGGAGATCATGAATTCTAGTCCCACCTTAGGTATGAAGCCAGCTAGGTGGTCACCACCCAGTCATTGGGCCACTCATTCTCTTTCTGTCCTACGAAAGAAGGCAAGAGCAAACCACTTCTAAAAATCTTGCCAAGAAAACTGCATGGATTAGTACAGGCAATTGCCAGGTATCAGTGCTGACATGAAGGCGCTCTCTCTCTCTCTCTCTCTCTCTCTCTCACACACACACACACACACACACAATTACATTTGATCTTGTAGGGCCTTTATTTTAAAAAAAATAAATTCAATGACTCAAAGATTTGGGAACTTGAAGTTCACCTCTCAGTTCAGTTCAGGATCTCTGACAAAGATATACTTGAACATATTCAGTGAAGAGGACTACCACCTCCCTAACTTATTCATTCATTCTTCTCTCAAAGTGTTTGCACTACCTGTACTTGGTATTTTTTCTTAACGTTCAAAAGGAATCTGTGTTCCTGTAACATAAGCCCATAATTCAGAATCCTACCTTCAGAAACAACAAAGAACAGGTGTTGTCCTCTGTGAAAGATTTTTTTTGGCTAGATTTAACATGTAGCATAATAGTTTGCATTGCAAAAGACATCTATGCATTGCCATGACATTTACTCCCTGCCCCAGAGTACCTATGCAAAGTAGATCAAGCCAATGCAAATTATAATTTTGTTGATATTTAGAGGCAGAATTTAGCAGGCAGTCCTAGAATGCAGATTGTAACCCTGAGAACTATGCACTATGGGAAACCTAACTTCTGAGAAAGAGGTTAATACCCTTTCTGAGTTATTATTTAAAGTTCAGCACTGGTCTATTTTTAGACAGTAGTGTGAGAAGAGGTTGGCTGAAAATAGATACAGATCATGTCTCCTTGTAGAATATAGAACATTGAGACACTTCATTTTCAGAGAACATAATTGGTATTTGGGATATAGCCTCTGTGCTCTCAAACCTTTGTGGACTGTAAAAAGAGATCTCTACAGAAGCCAAACATTTTGTGTGGGCCCTTGTAACAATACAAAGTATAACAATGGGGGTGGAATTTTAAAATGTAGTTTTTCTAACCAAGTTTGGGAGTCAGTGAAATCAAGCTTTTCCCTCCAATCCTTTCTGTTGCATTGACAATATATTTTCAGCTGTCTTACCCCATCAGTTTTCAGAGCTTAAAGACCATGCTGGCTTGGAAATCTGAGAATTGAAATCCAGGATATCTGCAGTACAAAGTTGGAGGAAATTAGTGTAATGCCCCTAAGTAGGCACACTGTCTGCTAACCACTGAGCTATGGTTGTTTTGTAAGATTCTGTTTGGATAGAACAACTGTCTATTCAAGCATGAACTGCTAAGTCCACACAATCTTCAGATGATATCAGTGCTTTGGGCAGCAACTTCCCCAGGTTCTCCATAAACCTCTCTACCAGAGACATTGTTTGCTCAATTCTCCTTCTTCATTTGCATTATCTGAGTCACATGTTTAAAGGGATAATTCCCAGTATGCTGCTCTCAGCAATTGCTCAAGTGCTTTCAAATCAAGTGGACTTAAATGTATTCACAGCAGCAGGGATTAAGAGAGACACTTCCTTAAAATAATTCAGACCATTTCTTGGCTATGACTCTGGAGTCTATTTCTCATGGAGATCATCTTTGATTCATAATTAATTTTTTTTAATGAAAAGTGAAATAATTAAAACAGAAATGGAATTCTCCATTAAATACATGTCAAGCTGTTGGCATGTAAATTAGCCAGACTTGTTTATGCTTCATTTGAATATTCTTTTTACAACTCTTGATATATGCATCCCCTCTTCCCCAAAAATCAGCAGATCAGGGGAAAATGCCTTAAGAACAGTGGTAAGTACAGGTTTTATGAAAAATTTCATGATCTTGGAACTGTACAGAGGTAATCACACTTCACAAACATTTGGCACACCACTAGTATATTTAACTAAACATTTACATTGAGTAATTCAATTAATGTTTCAGTTCCTTGATGATTTGAAATGCTGTTTCTTTTACTTCGGTAATTTTAGAACTAGTTCTTCAGTAAATGTTCCAGTTAAATAAATGACACTTATCTATATCTTAGAACTTAAATACGTATTGCTTGTTACCAAATAAAAATAGTGAGTGTTCCTAAGGCAATTCTGAAATATTCCAATATATAAACAATCGTGGTTTGTTCCCTATGATCATCTGCATGTGTCTGAGAAAGAAATAGATTTTCTATGTTGTCAAAGAACATTCATAGTTACAATGTCAGCACCAATGATAATTGATACAGGTAGTCCTTGCTTACCGATTGCCTCATTTAATGGCCATTCTAAGTTACAACAGCTTTGCAACATATCCTTCCATTTATGACCATTGCAGTTTCCCCACGGTCACGATTGCTGTTCAGGTGCTTTGCAACTGGCACAAATTTACAACTGTTGCAGTGTCTCATAGTCATGTGATTGCTATTTGTGTTTCCACAATTGGCTCGTAACAAGCAGAGTTAACAGAGAAGGCAGAAGTAAAATAGTAAGTCATAGTCCAATGATGTTTTGCTTAAAAGTCATGGTGACTTGCTTAATGACCGAAGGGGTGACTTCCAAGGAAGAAATGGTGAACTTTAGATGGCTCCGCAAAAAGTGGAGCCAATGATCACAGCAGAATGAAAAGCCAGTGAGTAGACTGGCTCTTCATAATTCCTCTCTGGACACGGAGAGGACTTGAGATTGCCCACAAGTGCTCCAGACAGTTGCTCCTTGCAAGGAGACCACAAGACAGTTCTGGTGGATTTATAGTTCTGGGAGACAAGGGAATAGCCATCTTGCTCAAACCACATTCAGCACCTTTAAAAGGACACTGGGTTCGCATACTTCCTTTTCTAATCACTTTTGGAAATTGCTTGTTAACTGCTTTTCAGCTATTAGGAACCTTCGGATCAACAAGTTTTACAGCACTGGGTGAGTTTCTTTCAATCCTTAGTGAAAGGAATTTTAAATACAAGTTTAAGGACTTTTTTTTTTTGAATAAACAGCAAAAGGATGATTAAAAAGAAAGTTACAAATGGATTAAGGGTCCAGATAAATTTGAAATAAGAATCCTACCTGTGGGAAAATACTTTTGTTTTGAATTCTTTTTTTTTAAAATAATAAGCTTAATGACCAAAGGGGAAGTGAGGTCGTAAGCCTGTCACAGTCACGTGATGTTTCACTTAGCAACCGCAGCACTTAGTGATGGAGTTGCCAGTCCCAATTGTGGTTGCTAAGTGAGGACTACCTCTAGTTTGTATAATTTGACAATCTGAACTCTTGTCAATTCTTAGACCATGATAGTGGTCTATGGCAGAAGAAAGTTGAAGTCCACAGATCTTAAAGTTGCCGAGGTTGAGAAACACTGTTCTAGTGGAAGCTGCATAAAGCAGAGTTATGCTAGATGACCGACCTCTAAAATTCCTTCCAACTCTATGAATAACTCTTATGACTCTATGAGACTAAAGAAATAAGCAAGGGATCTTTATGGATTGAAAAGCAACAAAATCGGATAGAGTTTTTATTTCAACATGCCCACATTGGATACAATCCATGAGTCATGTCAGTGCAAGCACCAGTGAAAATCATGGGGGGGGGGGGTGGTTACTAAATGACAGCTGTACACTTATACAACAGTTCCCATTTATTTTGACTGGAGAAATATACAGAAGTTCCTGCAGTTCGTTTGCCATTTTTTCACTTGATTTTTTACTCATTTCTTGAGAACAGTCATTCCTGAATGGTGTTTGGGAAAAACATTTACAAACATCATTTACAAGCTTTTTAACTGGTCTCCCAGTGAGAATGGTAACAGCAATACATTTCTCCAAAACACACCTTTCCCATCATTAAGCTAGTTAGCCCCCCTGCAATGTGCCTTAGACTTCATTCTCATTTCTTCAGAAAAACGAATGTCCAGCAGAAAGGAAGGTTTATATGAAATATGCCCCACTTCTCAGGATTTCACTGGAGGCTTCCAAGAAAACCACTGACATAATGGCATTTGTTGACTTTTTATAGTTCAGTGGTTCCACTCTCCGAAACATTTTGCTCTTATTTTTTAAAGTAGATTCACAATTTTGCTCCATTTTTCATGCCAGCCCATAGTGTTTTAATAGTTTCTGCTCTCTCACTTAGGCCAAAGGTAAAGCCAAAATGTTACAAAAGCCAGCCTGCCTGCCTGCCTTCCTCCTTCTCCCTCCCTCCCTCCCTCCCTTGTTTTGTTGTTTTATTTCTATTAAATCCGTGTTTTACGTATGCTAAAAACTTCCAAAGGAAATAACTGACAAGATGCCAGAATAGCTGACAAGACTCCAAAATGAGTTTCAACAAGTCATATATATGGTCTTCAGTAAATTAGGCTGTGGTGTCTTTTTTATTACTTGGTTAATAAGGGTTTTTTATAGTTTTATTTTACTTTTTCTCCAGGAGCTCAAGACAGGCCATACTGTTGCCCTCTCTCTTGCTTTGTCCTCATAGCAACTGTGTTATGGCTTGAGTTCAGTGAATGACTCTTGAATCCTAGACCAATCATCTAGATATCCTTTTTTTTTTTTTTGATACAAGAGAAGAAAATGATTCCAGATATCCTCTTGCTAACAAGCCCTGCCATAGAAAATCACTTTAAAATACCCTATATAATTATATCCTGGGAAAAGAGTTGAAGAAATGAAAAATATCCAAGTTGTGATCATTAATTTTACTGTGATTTCTATAAAAATGCAGACACATTCCAATATAGCCTTTATTATAAAATGTGTTCTGTTGAGGTTTTGGTCTTTAGTGGAGGGGTAGCCTCTTTAACCCTACTCTGTGATGCTGTGTATTTCATTTCACCCTTCCCTAGCCCCTATCAAGCTGCCTTTGTGATGATTCCAATTACCTTTTTTCCATTTTAGGAGATTGTCAACTTTAACTGTCGTAAGCTTGTTGCCACCATGCCTCTGTTCGCCAATGCTGACCCAAATTTTGTAACGGCCATGCTGAGCAAGCTGCGGTTTGAAGTGTTTCAGCCTGGAGATTACATTATCCGAGAAGGGGCTGTGGGGAAAAAGATGTATTTCATTCAACATGGGGTCGCTGGTGTTATCACTAAATCCAGTAAAGAGATGAAGTTGACAGATGGCTCCTACTTTGGAGGTGAGTACAAAGGAAGTTATGGGGTGGTAAAGATGGAGAGACTGAATGTAGGTTTGTTGAACATGCATAGGTTTACAAAGGCTGTGAAGACATAATAAGATACCTATTTGGTATGTCTTCTTTGTAGAGCATGGTGACAGCAGCATACAGTAATTGAAACGTTTATCATCAAAAACTTTTGGTAAGAGTTTTGATGGCCAGGCATATGCCATTATCTGCCACCTGGCTCCCATTCATGTCCCGTGTTGTTATAGCTCCTAATCAGTCACTATCCTAGAGCCAGATAAATTAAGCATGTGTATCATTTGAATTCCCAGAGGTTGACAGTTCATAGCTGAATGTATAATTAATGCCATTAAAAAGCATTTGGATACATAGACTTGCATGTGTATACAGTAGGACTATATGTTTCAACTATGTTGAAACTGACATGAAGGTATCTCTGTCATATCCAGCCTGTAATATTTCTTCATGATTTTCAACATTATGTCTCATGTAATGCAGAGGAACCTGTACTCCCAGCTCCATACTTCCTTATTTCCAACTGCCATATTTAACCCTCAGCATGATACAAGAGTGAGCAGACTTCTGCTGCTAAGGGTAATTTATCAGCATCTCAAAGAAATAGTTCTAGTCTATCAAAATGGATGCCGCAATATTTTTGCTTGTCAAACAGAATTCAAGTGAGTCATTTCACCAACAACTGCTTCAATTGGTGAAACAAGAAACTGCAATTCCATTTCCCCCTATGTATGCTCAACATCTCTGGGAAGTTAGAGGACATTGGAGCAGATTTGAGTAATGGGGGCTTATACAAGGAAAGCAGTGACAGTAACACCATGCAAGCAGCATTTGATTTCTCTCATGTTTGTACTTTATCAGAGCCATGTACTTCCTGCTAATTTAAATTCATGATATATACAGTATATATTTGAGGATATCCTCTTGTGTTTATTAACTAAAAGACATGTAATTTTTACAACATTAATTTGGAACTCTGTAGAATAGCAATTGTTATCAGCAGGCAAGCAATAGGTTCTATTTTTACAACCACAGAGTGCTTCAGATACAGCCTGCAGTTCTTCTATGACATTTCCTGCTGTGTTTCATTTACAGGTACAGGACATGTAGTCACATGTATCTTTCACCTGACCATTTTTTACAACAGAAAACAGCCTCGAAGGGTGGGAGTTTAAAGAGGAAACGGGACTGTTTTTCTCTCAGTTCGTTCTCTCTCACACACACACAGACATATCCATGTATTTCTCCCACCCAGAGAAGAGTAACTGAAGGTGGTATGTATGTATCATGCCTAATCTGAACAGTCAAATTGATTTGAAAAATTAATCCAGTTTGTTTCAAACATTTTAAACAGTTCAGAAAATTGATTTGACTCTGTTCAGACTTCCAGATCAATTTATTGTTAGACTTGATTCAGTTTGGAGTAGTTCAGACTATTAAAATGTAGGTATACAATCATAAAAAGCATCCAAATCAGTCTGATTTCATATAAGTTGCCCACTTGCCAGAGAGATTCTGGATGTCTAATCAGTCATTAAAAGCAATGATCAACAACAATAATCACAACAACAATTCATTTGATAAGGTACTTAATAAAAATGGTAAATAAAAAACAGAGCAGTAAAATACCTGCATTTTATTTATTTTTTACAATTATTTCTATAATATTTTAAAATAATAAAAGTTACACTTGAAAGTTCAGATGGTTGAATAAAGAGCAGGTTCTGCTTTATGTTGGTGGATGGAAAGTGATTAAACTTTCAATTGTATTTAATAAAGTTTTGCGATTTATTTAGTTCCTGCTACTGGTTCAGGTTGGAAACAGAAATAACTTTAAGGTCACTCTTAGAGTTTGGTTGAATTTACTTCGAGGTAGGTTAGCATTGTATTGCAGCTCAAATACTTTGAAATAAATATAATAACGAACAACTACATTTTGAAGTATTTTTGTTGCATAGTGCATAGATAAGCTTCTGGGTGTATTCCTTTCTTTCAAATTGCACAACTGAGAATATAATTATATGCAAACATATCAGTGAATGATCTTACCTAGTAGCTTCATGTAGCTATTAAAAAGGAAGGGCAACAGCACTGAACTCTGTGGCAGCTCACAAACCAGAGTCTTTGGGTTTAAGATCTTCCCTCCTGTCAGCACTACCTGGAACCAGACACAGAAAAGAGAACCACCAGAACACTGTATCTCCCACTCCCAATCTCTACAATCAGCCAAGAAAGATAGCATGATTGATGGTATAGAAAGCCCCCAAGAGATCAAGGAGAACCAGGATAGCCACACAACTCCAATTCCAGGTTTACTAGAAGTCATCAGGTGCAATCAATGTAGTCTCCATACTGTGTTGTAATCCAAAATCTGACTGAAAAGCATCTAGATAAGCTGCTTCCTCTAGGGACCTCTGAAGCTGCAACCTAACACTTTGTTAACTTTCTACAAAAATGGGAAGTTGGAGACTAGACAACTTTTGTCCAAAACTGTTGCTTCCAGCAATGGCTCATTGCGGAGATAGTATATCACCACCTGCTTCAAGGCAGGTGGAACTACCCCTGCATTCAAAGATGAATTCACCATTGCATGGACCCAACCACATTTCACTTTCCAGGGGGCCTTAATCAGCCAAGAGGGACATGGGTCTAAAGGGCAGATATCCAGATTAACCGTCCCCAAAATCCTGTCCACTTCCTCAGGAGTTACAGGGTGAAACACTTCCCAGATAACAAGACATGATCAGATCCCAGTTAACCTGACTGGACTTGCCCAGTTAGAGTCCAACTCTAAGTGTATCTGAGCAACTTTAACCATCAGATGCCTAAAATATTCCTCATAGTGGCCCTAAGATGTTCTTGTGATCCCTCCCTCACTGTCAGGGAACAGATCAACTTAAAAAGTTATGTGTAGAAATGAGAAGAGTAGGAAAATAGCCACTCTTATCACCATTATATCCCTAATAAGAATTATTATAGATGTTCGATCAAATTCAGTCTTCATCTCTCTCCAACGCAGTGCTCTTGGCTGTTTCATCTTCTTTTGTTTCATCTCCTAGGGTTCATTGGAAAACCAGGGGATCCTTGGGATCAATGAATAAGGAGTGCCCATATCTGATTCAAGGCCCTTGGTACCCACCCATTCCAGGTAGAAATTAAAGCCTTGGTTGAACTGCTGACCAGATCTTCAGGAAACACCCCAAGCTCTCGCTGAGACCCACCAAGGTCCATTAGTCATCTGGGACAGACCATTCTAATAGGCCCAACCTCCCTATGGGGGAGGGGGGACAAACAGAACCAGTGAGCTGAAAAGCAATCAGAGAATGGACTTTTAGATCACATGGCAACTGCCCCAAGGCAAAAACCAGATCTAACATGACCAGCTGTGTGTGTTAGTCTTCAGTTACCTGGGATAGGGCCATAGTGGCCATGGACTCCTGAGCTATAAGTCATCAGGTCATCAGCATACTGATGATACCTCACCCCATGGCTTCATGTAGATATTAAACAGAAGCAGAGAAAGTACCAAACCCTGTGGCACCCCACAATATAGGGGCTGAGGCCAGGCTTGCTCCCAATCAATATCAACTGGAACCAGCAATGAAGGAAGGAGGAGAACCAGCACAATACAATGCCGCCCACCCCCAACCTCATGTCCAGAAGGATACCATGGTAAATGGCTTTGAAGGCTGCCATGAGGTCAGGTCAAGCAAGGATCCCCTGATAATAGGGATTCTGCGCATTAGTTGTATTTGTAACATCTTTCCTCTCATGGTCTTGTTTATTTATTTTTATTGTTTTTAATGGGTTTGTGAAATGTTTTAATTCCTGGTTTTATTGTATGCTGCCCAGACTCACTTCATGTGAGATGGGCAGCCATATAAATTTGACAAATAAAATAAAATAAAAATGAATGTACTACCCCATCCTATTCCCATCAGAGATCATCTAAAAGCATGACCAGTGCTGTTTCAGTCCCATACCCAGGCCTGAACCCCAGCTGAAGGGAGTCCAGATAATCCATTTCATTCATTCAGAAATGGAGGCAAGGAGGTCAGGCAGGGACGTCAGTACGCAGCAGGTACAGTAGCAGCAATCCCATTTGATCCCTAGAGCCCAACTTAATAAACAGGATCTTACATTGAGCAACTTGTGAAGCAATGCCCCCAAAAGCTGTTAGGGACTCCCAAATGACAATCACCGCTCCCCCACCCCCGCCTTGGGATTTCCTGAGATAGTGTCATGCTTGCTTATGAAATTACAAGCAGTATCATCAAAATATTGTGAGATGTTGTGGGATTATTCCTCCAACTATCCATAATGAAAAACAACGCGTACTTCAGTTGGTGATGGGGAGGGAGAACGGTTGCAAATGCTATAGAACTTCCTGGTGACCTCTGACAGAGCATGTGATCTGTAACAGACATATTTATGGTCAAGTAGTTCTTCAATATTTTTATAGGCTTATTATCTTGTTATTTAGAATCCTTCTTTAGATTTTGTATTAGTTATTTGCAATTTATTTTGGAAACATTATTAATGGGAAATCAAGTCCAGCTAGCAATGTTACTTAAAAAACAAAAGAAAACTGGGACTGAGCTTTTAACTCAGTGAAAAGTTCAGTTTCAGGTGGATGTTGAAAGGGATGTAGCTATTAAAATTCTTTCAACAATCCATTTCCCATTCAAAGTGGAGAATGCAAAGTTGTATTACTTTGGAGGCCTGATGCCAATCATCAGCATATCAGGGAAATACAGGTCTGCCAAGACACAGAAGCTTTGGCAGATCATTGCCTTGAAATGACTTCATGTTTCTTTGTTAAACATTTATTGTCAGTTTTTAATCAAATATTAATGTGATATTGCACGATAACTAATTACATTGTGAGGTGTAGTTTTATGTGGACAATTATCTGGCAATAATTGGATCAATGCTGCATTGCCAGCTAGGCATTACATTGCTGCGAGAGTGAATCATTTTCTATTTCAGCTTGGAAAAGCAACAGCAACTGGGAATGGGGCAGGAAATGTTGTTTCTCAGACCTGGTCCAGATTACTCTATCATGTTTTACTCTACTTTATGGAGTAGTTTCCAGTAAATGTGCTTTAAGTAGGATGAAACCAATCTCAAAGCATTTTCTCTGGAATATAATGTGGAATTATTGAACAGGTAAGATTTCTGAAGTCAAGGACAACTTGAAATAGTGATGCAACTCATCTTATTACAGTACTTTATGTTGGCGAAGCACAACAAAGAGCCCTACTAAACATCATAGGCGGCATCTGGACCACCTCAAAAATATGCCACCAATTGTGACTTTTATCTGACAAAAGGGGAAAATTATTAAATGCATGGGGAGTAATCATATTACTTCCCAGAGTTGCTTTTTAACAAGATGGGAGGTGACAAATTTGATATAAATACAGTTGGCTCAGTTCAGGAAATAGCCTACTAGGGACACATTGGAATTCTGAGAGCAGGTTGGGGGCATTCTTACAAAATAGTTGCTTGGGGAGTTTTAGTTAATCACAAAATAATTTCCATGGTGGGCATGGCAGTCAAAAGATAACTCATTTACCAAAAGAAACACTACCCATCCAAAAGTTCTTTACTGTTCAGATAGGAGTTCTGCAAACCTGAGATATTCATGTATGTAAATGTAATGCTCAAACCTAGTTCTTTACTTTGCAGCATGCCAGGTTCCTATTTATTTATTTTTAAATAAAAATATATATTTTAAAAAGTCAGAACCAACATAGAGCCTGGTGGATACTAAAGGACATTTTTGGGGGCCAAAGTGTCTACTTCTGGCCTCAGTTGTATGGATGTATTTTATGGCGGCAAATCCCTTTCATAGAATACAGAACATTTTAAATAAAGGAACCTAATCCTTTCATCTGATCTAGGATGGTATCATCATTTCACTTAAATTATTTGTATTTCTTTGGGATCACTAAAGCACACAAGTAACTTGCTCTTTAAGAGACAGCTGTGAAATAAAATATGGAGTCCTTTTCTCTCTTCATGATCTGACTTGGAAAAGAATTGCAATATTCAGCTGTATTTGTTGCAAGTTAAAAACTAAAGTTATCTATCAGTCATCTTTATTGAAAAACAGATTTCAGATGAACAGATGAACAGATTTCAGATGAAAGATCTGAAGTCAAGCTCACTACTACAAAAATCATCTGAGAGACAGAGTAGACGGTACTGGATTACATAGACCAATATGTTCCAAAGCAAGTCAGCAATCTCTTGCCCTGAGTCCAAAATGACCTATTCTCTTAAAATTTTGCTTTCAGTCCAAACTTCTCTTCAAAAAATTGTGAATGAAGACTCAGGATAGGGAGAATTCATCTATACAATCTGGCCTTGACCAGATCATATGCTGCTGATGGCCTAAGGTCGCTTTCTAAACTTATTTTAACTGAAAGAAGATTTGACTCAAAATTTTGCTAAAACAAGTGTTGAGTGGTCTTATCCAAGGAGTTTTCAGACTAGCCAAAGAGGTTTCTCAGGCAGTGGAATCTGTACTGTACTTTGTTGAGTAGATAAGTAAGTAAATAGGGTTGATATCAAGTATTTTGCATGGTGGGAAATTGGTCACATGGAATCATGCAATTCTGTGAACTGTTCTAGAATTTAAATCCCATTAAATTTTTCTGGGTGTTGAATAATTTACCTGGACAGGTAAATTACCTGTATGTTTCCCAGTTTCTCACTTCAGAAAATTTTCATTTGTGAATTATAGAAGACTGCAGATATGTAAGTCCTCTTATTGAATCTTCTCATACATGAATAGTTTAATGACTGCATATGATTATTTGCTTTCCAATGCTGCATCTCATAATTGCCATCTGTTTTAAGAGAAGCACCAATCAAGACTATTCCATTTAACTTAAACTCCTAAGGGCTATTGTGTGAGGCTTGGCTTACTGTGTATTACTATTGCTGGAGTGACTTTAGATTTGTCTCTCTCATTAGAACAGTAATTAGCCTTCCTTTTAAAAATGATCATGTGAATAATTTTTCAGAAAGACCAAATAATTACTGAAATCTCTAGATGTGAATGCTATTGGAGCATAATTATAAACAGAACATAGCTATATGTTTTTGTCTTTCAGTTGGGCATCAAGGAGGCAAAAGTAGCTAGATACTAAAATCATGCCAATGTTTAACTGCTTGTTGTTGGATTTTACATCTGGTTACTGAAGGTACTAAAGATAGAATTCTGTAAAGGCTGGCCTTTTTAAAGGAATTAGGGAGCTGAATTATGCTGTATGTTTAAAAAAAAACCTTGAGAGACCCTAAGCTTTATAGCAAAGGAGCAGTGCAATATCTAAATGTTGTGAAATCCAGTTTCCAGAAGATCTCTGTGATGTTCATAGATCCTGTAAACATAGTCTTCCTTTTTTACATTGCATCTCAAATGAAGTTTTGATGAGAAAACTGCTGGGCATCAACTAAGCACATTTTTAAAAAGTGTATGAACTCTTTCTCTCAGAGACTGAACAGTTCTTTTGTTCTTATGACACAGGAATATCCCTGAGCTCTTGCTCTGGAATGCGTAATTCTCTGGAACCTTTAAAAAATGTTGAATATTTTTGCACACTTCTTTCTAGCACCCAGGTTTTGATGAAACAACACACAGTATTTTGGGTGGACAGAATGGAACTCCTTTCTAACCACAACAAAACACAAACATGAAAGTAATGCAAGTGTTTTGCCTGAATCTAGTTTTCTTGGTAGCTATTAATTATTGCATTAATTGGATTAGAAAAGAAAAAGGGAAAAGAAAATAATAGTATTAAAATTGCATAATACAAACATGGATGGATACAGAAACCTCCAAGATAACTTAGCATTTGGACTATATTAAGCCACTTCTCATCATTCACCTGGAAAAACCGTCATCCTTGTGTGTAATGAGATGCAAATTCCAAGGATGCCTACACCAAACTTAGTCAAGTCTGAGGAACTGTGGCAAATTGAATTCCTTACTTGGTGTAGTAAAAGCCTAATGTGCTTCCATATGGTAGGTAGGAATGTAAATCCAGCTACTAATATATATATTCCACAGGAAAAGAAGCAGTTGCCAAATTAACAGGATTTGCAGAATTCAGAAATAAGTACAACATAAGTAAGATTTTGTGTATGGAATAAATGGGAAAATTATTCATATGCCTTTTGAACTTCTTTAAGTATTTAGTATATTTAGTATTTCAGGAAATCTGGAGAGACAGTATGATACAGTTCTTAGGATGTTGGATTGGAATTACAGACCAAGCTTTAAGTCTGTCTTTAGACATGGATATTCACTGCTTGAGTTTGGCCCAGTGTCTGTCTTTTGGCCCAGCTTATTTCACAGATTATTCTTGTTGTTTTTGTTTTATAAGGATGCAGCTGAGAAGGTTCTGGAGGGAGAACATATAGTTGATTTTAGGGAATGTAGAAAACTCTAGAAACTGAACATTCAAGAGCATTGGTGTAGTTCAAGTCAGACTTGGAGGATGTCCATTTGGATCTTAAAGCAAAAGTTGTTTTAAAAAAGGGGGGGTAGGGGAGAAAATTAGAAACTTCCATGATTGTATGGAGGTATTTCATACAGATGTTAAATTCCATGGACATGTTTTATTTTAGTAGAGTTCTAGGCATTCAGTTTAAACATTAAATATATTAAGACTTGCCATTGACTACAACAGCTTAGCATCTTTTCTACACATTAGATTTGCAACTCCCAGCCACCATATTGCAGTCCCAATACACCCAGGAGCCCTAGGCCGAGGCTGAATAGACTGGAAAGACAATAAATTGCAGGAAATCTTTTAACTGGATTTGAATTTTGACTTGTTCTGACATACTTCCTATGCCTTCCTTTCTCTTTATTCTTTTTTTCCCTCTTGCAGAGATCTGCCTTTTGACTAAGGGCCGTCGTACTGCCAGTGTGAGAGCAGACACATATTGCCGCCTGTATTCTCTCTCTGTGGACAACTTCAATGAAGTTCTAGAAGAATATCCGATGATGAGGAGAGCATTTGAAACAGTGGCCATTGACAGATTAGATAGGATAGGTAGGGATTCATATTTTTCATAAAATAAACTATTTTTCTCTTTAAGGTCAAAAACCCTAACGGGCTATAGTTTTTCATTTTGATTTGTTTGAATGATTGGGTATAAATAACTATATCTGAGTTGATGATGATGATGTTTTGGACAATAAGTGTGTGTGTATGTGTGTGTATGGATGGATGGACGGACGGACGGATGGATGGATGGATGGATAGGGGAGAGAAAGGTAAGGATGCCCGTGAGTGAAACTCAACTCCTGGTGACTATATGGAGATATCCATACCATTTTCTTGACTATAATATGGAAGAGATTTTCCATTGTCCTCCTGGCATGTGTTTTTGATTTCTCAGTTTAAGACAGTGTTTCTCAACCTTGGTAACCTTAAGATGTGTAGACTTCAACTCCCAGAATGGCTAGCTGGGGAATTTTGGGAGTTAAGGTCCACACATCTTAAAGTTGCCAAGGTTGAGAAACACTGGTCTAAGATATGGTTCTGGAATTCCTTGCTGGTCTTTGATCCAAGTATTAATCAGGGCCAGCCCAGATAAGGAGGAAGCATATATACACATTCCAGCTCCTCTCTGAAAATGCTAGACTTTGTAATTTGAATACCAGTACCCATACACAAGGTTTACTGATTCAGTTTTAGGCAAGTCTCCATTTCACTATCCCTTATTATCAAGTCAGCTGACTAAATTTACATACTGTAAATGTATCTTTTCTAAACCGTCTAGCTCCTTGCTAGTACAAAGCAACGGTCTTTATTCAGATTATTTCAAGCTTGGGGATTGCCACTAATTCATATGAATATATGAATTATGTTCAATTGTTATGATTGTAGCTTTACAGAAAATAATAGTCCAGTTATTTTGGGCCAGTGGATTAAATGCATAACACACCAGCCCTATAACAGTTAATACCAGTGAATGTATAGCCAGATGTTATATAATATGTTCTGTTTGCTCGTTATTCAAATACATTTGGAAAGATTATTCCTCTCAATCTTTTGGTCATTCGTTTTGCTTTCAAGAAACATGTTAAATGGGCACGTGCATTTATAACTTACTTAACATGTTCAGTATTTGTGAAATTAGGACAGCTTGACAAAGAAAGAAATAGGCTCTTTAACACTTAAAGAATCTAGTTACTCCATTTGCTTGCCTTCCTACAGCTTTGGTAACTTGTCATTATTGGCTTGTACGATATGTTTAGATATTGACAAACAAGCAGTACGCACAGTGATAAATGCAAAACGTCCAAGTATTTCTTCACATTGGTCTATCACAGTGAATTATGCAGGGTCTTCTTAAAGGTCGTTGGATGCAAAACAAATTATTCCAGAGGGTTTTTGTGGTGTATTTCTGCATATTCCATGCAAAGCAACATTCCCCAAAAATGTGGGTAGCTTTCGTGATTGAGAACAAGATCACTCAGTGATACGGTAACAGTATTCTTCTGGGCATGATACTTTCACTACAGCTATGCCTTATGCCCTTTAAAGAGTCCATTGGGGTTGGGTGGCTAATAAATTTAAATCATTTAAAAATAAATTTAATTAATTAAAATTAAAGGGAAGAGGAAAGGATTGGCAAATTTTGCTCCTAGGTTTGATAACTAAATAGAAACTCTTTTGTTAATGTACACTGATTGTTGGATCACGTAAGTAGAACAAGATTCATGGCTTCATGGTGTACTTTATTGAGTTATCTTGGTGGCCAGTGTGGGAAGCAGGATCCTGTATGGACCTTGTTCAAGCCAGCAGGGCTCTTCAGTGTGTGTTCTTGAAGAATGTCTTCTTGAAAATGAAGGCTATTAACTTTTATGGAAGATGTAGCTTGAATTGAATTGTTGCTTCTCTTTTATTCTTATAGTCATTGCAAATTACCATTATCTTGATGTAAAGATGCATTTTAGAGATAGAGAAGCAGATACGTATTCCTATGCTGAACAGCTGTTAACTTGCATGATGTGTTATGTCAATCTCATTCCCTAAAGGAAAGAAGAATTCACTTCTACTCCAGAAATTCCAAAAAGACCTCAATACTGGCGTTTTCAACCATCAGGAGAGTGAAATTTTGAAACAGATAGTGAAGCATGACCGAGAGATGGTACAGGCTGTTGGCCCAGCACATTTTTTGCAAACACCTGCTCTGAACTCAAGCCCTTCAACTACCACTTCATCGATGCAAATGAGGACACAGACAACACCTGTCTATGCTATGACCAACCTTTCCCATGGGAGCTTGAATTCATCAACACCGAGCACACAGACACCTCAACAAGGTGTAGTTTTCTCACCCTGCTCCTACCCTTCTGCAGTCTGTAGTCCATCCATGCAGAGTCCTTTAGCTGGCCGAACTTTTCAGTATGCAACGCCTACTGCTTCACAGTTGTCGTTGCTACAGCAGCAGCAGCAGCAGCAGCAGCAGCTGCAACAACCACAGCAGTCACAGCAAATGCCTACCGGGTCACAGAAGAGCGACATCCATAAGAGTACACAAACTCTTCACAATGCTAGCCTGACAAAAGAGGTGAGGCCCCTGTCGGCCTCACAGCCTTCGTTGCCCCATGAGGTATCTACTATGATTTCAAGACCACATCCAACTGTGGGAGAATCTTTAGCCTCCATTCCACAGCCAATGTCTGGTCTCCAAACCACAGGAATCCAGCCTGGGAGCAAAGGCACAGTGCCCCAGAGAGTCTCCCTCTTCCGACAGATGTCTTCAGGAGCAATTCCACCAACACGAGGACCTATGCCATCCACAGCTGGGCTACAAAGAGATACTTCCACAGTCTTAAACACTGAACTAGAGGGAGATAAACCACGGTTTGCTTCAAACTTGTGATTCACGTAGACTGAATAAAGCAGAAGCATTGAAATTATTCCCAGGACACTGTTAGAACTTAATTTTGCATAGTTCCCAGCTGTCTACAACAAAAAAGAAAATTGTAGACAAACTTAACCCACAGAATTGAATGTACAATATAAAGACAGACAGAAGGAAAAAAGGGAGAAATTCAAATGGTGTCTCTTGTCTTTGTTTCTTATAAACAATTCAGAGTCTAAAAACAGTTGTAATTTTTATTTTTAACTTACTTAAAAATATAAAGTTTCCTGATTTGAATCTATATTTTAAAAAAAATGACAGTATTATGAATTCCAGGAGCTAAGCCAGAAAATAAGAACAGCTTTCATAGAACACCCACTAGCTTGGAATAGCACCTTAAAGCAGTGCTTTTTAACCTTTCTTAATCAACTATAATTGAGACGTAATTCCTATTTTAGAGGTCCAGATTACTTTTTGGTGCTTTTATGTTGAGGCTTAGATTGAAGGGTTAATGAAATTTTTACTGTCTACAAAAGCTAGTAAGAACAGTAAATAGTGAAGACTCATTCATCTTGCTGTAAATAACTTTTTAGACCCAAGTAATAATAACAAAAAAATAGCTCCCGCGTGATGTACCATTGCAAAATATTTGTTTAGAAATTTAGTTGCAGCTATTCATGCCAAAATGTAAGCATTTAAAAATTTTTACAAGATATAAAATGCAATATAATTGTAATGCGATGGCTTGCATTCTGAAATGCTACTTTTACATGCAGTGTTTTTATGCAGATTTGTACGTTTGATTCTGCTATGTGTATTTCAGCAACACTACTATCTTTTTCTTTTTTGTCCTGGACACCGTCAGAAAATATTCCATGCATGCTTGGATATATTGTGGGGGAAAGCGGGGGACAGAAAACTAACCAAAAGAGGAACAACAAAAATATCCTGTGCCCTCAACGCAACTAAAAGATTCAGTCAGCAACGTTAGGGGAAGTGGGGAAAAGGAATATTGATAAATGTGAATGTATGGTTTTTACAATTCATTTCCTATTGTGCTGATTTTGAATCTAGAGTTAAAGATTAGAAGTGTTTTATTTTAACTGATTGAATGAATTGTTTTAACACTGCTTCAGTTAGTCTTTCAGATGTGTACTGTGTCCTTACTGTAACTCTATAGTTTACTGTAGCAGTCTTTTTTTTTTAAAGAAATATATTATAGCATCCTGTTTGTTAGGAAATGCACACATTCCAGTGTATAGTATAATAATTTGGATAACATATTCTACTACACCATGTAGCACTGAACATAGAAATGAATATTTTTCTTTATTTTTGACTTCTTAATATCTCCACAAAAGAAAGGGAGATTGTAATAGAATGTGGGGGGTTTGTGAATCTTTTCTTTCAGTTGCTTTGTCATGTCATCTTATGACTTCAGATACTTCTAAAAGGAGTATTTTTCAAATGTTGAATGTACTGATTTAGGGACTTTATTCATTGCCCACCATGTTGCCAGTGCTCTTAGGGGTATCTTGTCATCATGGAACGTATCTGTATAACATTTTCCCTTAATCATTGGATTGAAATTATAATTTGGGAAGGGGGGGTTGTTTCATTTTGTTTTTTGTTTTTCTTTTGACACTCCTGTGTCAAAGTTTACTCTTGTCTGTAGTCAAGACTAATCACTTCCAAGGGGCTTGGAAGGTAGGTTGAGGGATGTATGAAGTTCAACTGAGACCATCTTGTAGGCATTAATGGAAGCAGTTATTGAAGCAGAGGGATGGTCATGTAGCTGTTGGTCATATATAAACCACAGGTTATCCCAAACACATTCCAGCATTGTACTGATTTTCTCTAATCCACAGTGTAGCACTACTTTAAGATGTAATGTTTATAGCAGAGTCCAATAGAATACCGTTTGAGCCTACATCTCATGATAGTTTATTATTTATTTAAGGCACTTGTTCCCTACTTTGGATTTAGCCCTGCAGTCGAAAACCTGATATGGATTCCTGTCCCAACTGTCATGCTGCCTGTTAACATTTTTTCCTCCAATGCTATTTTAAATGCCTACATAAATTAAGTACAGATTATTTTAATGAATTCTACTCCCCAACTGAAAATCAAGTAAATGAGGTCACTTATTCCATGAACATGATGCTGCTGTCAGTTAAAATGGAGTGGTCACGAATCACATATGAGGGATATAATATTTAAAGTATTCTAGGTAAACAGCAAGTCCATTTATTTTTAATACACTAGATCCCTGACTATATATTAATACTGATGATAAATTTTATCCAAACAATTATGATCATATCCTGGTCTTTAAAACTGTTCAAGGTTTACATTTGATAGGAGTACAATGGAGTTGGTAGTGAACTATTTTTATACCTATGTTTATTTTATTTTATGTACTATACAGAAACTTAAGAAAACTTTTTAATGACTTTGTAATAGAATGGGCAAAATCTAAGGTTTGTAAGTTAACTAAAATGGTACAGGGTATAAAACTAAAATCATATGTACATAAGAATGTGTGTGTGCATTTATACATACATGTGCATATATGTATACAAACAATTCACTCATTTCTGTAATATAAAGACTATGCATTGCTATTTTGAGAATTGGCCTGTTTTTCTCTGGACATAAATAAGCCCTTAAATATGGAACCTTACATCTGTATAGGATGAAATGTATTTACAATAATGTTGGATTGTGTTGCTGCTGAACAAACAATACATCAAACTGATTCTTACAATAACCGCGCAATCGGGGATAAGTTAAACTTTTTCCCTTTTGTCTTTGCTCAAAGCCATAAAAAATATATATATATATATATATATATATACATAAATCTATATATGGTTATTAGGAAATTGAACAAGAATATAAAACAATAAAATGTGAATATTTTATTTCATTTGTAATGTTTCCATCCCAACAGAGCATATTATTTTAATGTGAACCTGGACATTTTCTGACCCATATATCCCATGACTGAATGTTCTGTCTTGAGCCATCCCTTCCTCTTGGAAGAACATGCTATTCGATGATCTAAATGGGATAAACAGAGGCTCGTTTCTTGAAGTTCACCCAAGAAGTACATTGATAGCTTTGATTAATATGTAAACCATGCTTGTATGCATAAGTGACAAAACGTTTATCTCATCTCCACATACAAGAAAGATGAAAAACAACAAGGATGTGGTGGCACCTTAACATTTAACATTTAATAAATCTATTCAGATAAGCTTTCATTAGAAAGAGTGTATTGTTATGGGAGTGTAACAAGGTGAAAGTCAGAACATTTAGCATTTCTATTCTGAAACGGTGCTATCTCTGGGCAAAGAAAAATATAAGCTTCTTAAGACTTCCAAAACAAGTGTTTAATCCATTGGCAAGTTCTAGTAAGTGTTTTGAGAAGAACACATGAGATCTTTGTGGGATAAGTATTCTGGCCCTCCTTACCTACCTTCCTGTTTTTATTGAAATCATATACCAGTGGAGGGCTATAATTTACAATTAAATTATAAAATATGTCTACAGATTTCCTATACTTTTATGCTGAATAGAAGTGTCCTTCCATAGTTCTCATTGGAACATCTAGAATTTTATATTATGTTATTTTATTATGTATTTGATTAAGCCAGAATAGGGATTAAATCAGCAGGCCTCCTTAATCCATGAGCGATATGCTACAAATTTGGCTCTTTGGGTTTCTTGAGATATCCTAGTTTATGACATTGTGGCAGCACATTCTAAATGCGGGCAGCAGCTTAGTTGATACTAAAAAAGATCAGATTCTTTTAGATTCAGAATTAGGAAGCTAGTTCAACCCTATTTTGACCAGCCAAATTTGTGTATTTCCTAATACACAAATTCAAATGGGGCAGGGCTTTCATAGTGATATTCTGTCTGCTATCTTGTTGATTTTGATCTGAACATACATACACAGTCCGCAGAGGCCACTGTTAAAACAGGACAATTTAAGTTTAGATTATACATAAAGGGCAAACTAGAGCTAATCAATGGAATGCTTACTTAAGATGGGAAAATAGATGAAGAAATATGACTGTAATATAGAGGTTGTAGTCTCTTATAAGGAATTAATGTTTATTGAAAGAAGTGAAAATGGCTGTGTGAGGTTCTGCTGCTTACTTTATTATATGAAGTGAAACTCAGATATATCAAGAGAAACATCAAAGTATGTTGAATGCAGTTAGAAATCAATTGTTTAATAAGTGTGAGTCATAAAACAAGAAGAGAAGAATGAGTGGCTGCTAATGAATGTCGTGGAATGAATATAAAAGCGGGTGCCCCATACAAAGAAGTA